TGAAATTAACACAGGATGTTTGAAAAAGATATAGGAATATATAAATAAGTGGAAGATTATACTGTGTTCATGGATTGGTAGAATTAACACCATTAAAATGTCCATACTGCCCAAAGCAATCTATAGATTCAGTACAATCCCTCTTAAAATACCAATAGCATATTTCACAGATCTAGAACAAATACTCCAAATATTTATGTGGAATCAAAAAAGTCTCTGAATAGTCACAGTGATCTTGAGAAAGAAGAACCAAGTTGGAGGGATCACAATACCACTTAAATTATCCTACAAAGCCACTGTATTCTAAACAGCCTGGTATTGGCACAAGAACAGGCATATAGATCAATGGTACAGAACAGAACCTAGAAATCAATCCAAGTCATTATGCTCAATTAATATTTGACAAAGGAGGCAAGAGCATACAATGGAGTAAAGACATTCTCATCAATAAGTGGTGTTGGGAAAATTGTACAGGTACATGAATAAAAATGAAACTAGACCACCAACTTACACCATACACAAGAATAAACTCAAAATAAAAGACTTAAATGTAAGTTGTGAAACCATAAAAATCTAGAAGAAATCATAGGCAGTCAAATCTCAGACATCTCTCGTTGCAGAATTTTTACTGTAAACTTTAGGCTCGTTATAAAAGTAAGGTCAGTTTAAAACTGATTTTCGTTGTTGTTATCCTCACCTGATGATATTTTTTCCTTATTTTTTAGAGTGGAAGGAAGGGGGAGAGACAGAGAAACATCAGTGTGAGAGAGACACATCAATTGGTTGCCTCCCATATGGGCCAGGGATCAATCCTGCAACCAAGCTATGTGCTCTTGACTGGAATCAAACCCATGAACCTTCAGTCCCCAGGCTGACGCTCTAACCATTGAGCAAAACCAGCCAGGGCTAAAAATGTATTGTCATAAAAAGAACTAGTGTTATTCCTTTAGGAAGGGAGAAAACTATTACTGAAATGTAACTGTTTCTTTTTCTTTTTAAAAAAATATTCTTTATTGTTTAAAGCAGTGGTTCTCAACCTTCCTAACGCCGTGACCCTTTAATACAGTTCCTCATGTTGTCGTGACCCCCAATTTCATTGTTACAAATTGAACATAATTAAAGCATAGTGATTAATCACAAAACAATATGTAATTATATATGTGTTTTACGATGCTCTATCCACTGAGCCAAACCAGTTAGGGCCACAGCTTTTTTAATCCACTCATCTGCTGATGGACACTTGGGCTGTTTCCAGGTCTTAACTGTTGCAAATTACGCTGCTATGAACATAGGGGTGCATGTATTCTTTCTGATTGGTGTTTCGGATTTCTTAGGATCACTGGGTCAAATGCCTGTCTCATTTTTAAATTTTTGAGGAAACTCCATATTGTTTTCCATAGTGGCTGCACCAGTCTGCATTTCCACCAGCGGTGTACTGGGGTTCCCTTTTCTCCACATCCTCACTACCACTTGTTTTTCATGATTTCTTCGAATTCTTCCATTACTACTCTTCCAAGTCTTAGCCTCCTCTTGATTTCTTTGAGTAGCAAGAAGCAGTCCTTTAATTAACCATACTTGGTCATCTACCCATAGCTGCTTTAATGATTCACTTTTAAAGATGGGAGTGATTCTGAGTTCCCAATTATTAAGAGTTTGAAAGAAGTTGAGTGCTGGGGTCCAATCCCAGCGGGTCCAGGGGTCCCCAGAGGTGTGGATGGAGTCGGCGAAGAAGGAATGACACGAAGACAGCCTTCAGTTGATCAGCAGCCTAGTCAGGACCTCTAGCCAGGATCTCCAGCCAAAGTTCTGGTCGGAGTTCTGGTTAGGAACTGATCAGGATCTGATGTTGATCTGATGTTTATTGTCTTGTTACATCCGTATTTATACCAGCCGATTTTAATCCTGTCAATTTCTATTACAAAGGTTAGGGCGTTTCTTATCTCCATTCCAGGGAGTAAAGATTATGTAGCTTAACTACCCGCCTGGCACTTAATTAAGGGGTTGTATCCCCTCCCTAACCTCAGGGAAAAATCCCTACCTGGGGAAACAACCTTTCTCGGAGAGGTGACCTTGGTTAAAACACATGGAGCTAAAGAGAGCAAACATATTAAGAACAATATGCTATATACGCCAGGTCCCTTGAAACATATGCTGTGCAGATGTTTCTGCAGCGACTGTGTCAAGCAGCAAGGATGGACCGGCTCCCGGCAAATTCCCCCTTTTTTATTTTTTTAAATGATAGCGCATGCAAATCAGTGGCCACCTCTCACATTGGGCTGTTTAAGACTTGGAAGAAGACTGGCAAGCAATGACAATAAGCATAGCTATAAACATAGTGGATGGATTGCACAAGGAGCCTTGTTCCTGTAAAGGTTGCTGGCCTCTTCAGTCAAGGGATTTCAGCTGTCCTTAAGTCGGGGGTTTGGTTGTCCTTGTTGATCTGGCTACGGGCAGCATCATTGGTGGTGGGCTTCCCGAAGTGTCAGCGAGTTGAAGGGCTGCATCAAAGGGTCCATCAGGGTGGTGCTTGATGGTGGTGTCAGTGTCCGGGGAGGAATCAGCTGTGCCCTCTGGGTCCGCCGATATGGACAATACCGGGGAGGAGGAGGATGAGGCGGAGACGGAGGGTGGTGTGACATAAGGTCGGATTAGACGGTCTGGAATCCACACAGGTGAGTCTGCATCCTGTGGAAATATACAAGCATCTCCTCTCCCCCAGGTTAAAAGTACATCAGGTCCCTTCCAGGCTCCTATAAGTAAGTCTTTCCATTTGACAAAATAAGTGAGTTTCTGCTAAATGAAAGTTTCTTTTGCTGATTTACTCAGAGTCCTCAGACTTGGCTGAGAGAGTAGCTTCCACTTCTTGCTTTTCTACCATCTGTTGGGCCTCAGTTGTTAACTTCTTCAGTTGACCTTATGTTGGCACCTCAGTCCCTTGCATAGCCTTCCTTTTCTTCTTTTTTCCGCTTTTCTGTCATCGGGGCAACTCTAAGTCTTTGGAACGATGAGACAAGGAGCTTCTCTGGGTCCATTGTGGTGACGCATGTAATGCATTTACTCAATCCAAAGCAGGCATTAAAAAGAAAAACCCCAAATGCTCTCTTGTATACATTTTAAGAGTAGGATTGGCGCTTTCTGCTATTACCTGAGTCCTGATCTATCACCCCAGGGAGAGCTTTCCAATCCTGCACTTTTCCGGGGTGGAAAGGCTGCAGTGGGGTTAAGGATAAGGCTCCTTGGGCCTACCTTCTCCCATGCCTCTACATTTACCTTTCCGGCACCTTTCCTTCCTCAGAAAAGCATGGACATACTTCTTGTATAAAACATTCCGTCTGACTGGGAGTAACCTTAACTCCTCTGCTAGCAAGCATATGTGTTAAAAGATCAATACAGAGTCTTTTTTTCTTTAGACTCAGTATGGCACATCTTCTTAATCTAAAGATCAATACAGAGTCTTCTTTCTTTGGACTCAGTATGGCACATCTTCTCAATCTAAGTTCTGTACTATCCACCTTCTTACCCTACTTATCCTCTATAGGGGGGTCTGTAGCACCCTGGTGGAGTCCTATCCGTCCCGAGTGTGGGGGTTCTCAATGGGGGGGCTTACCTAGGGGAATCCTGTTCGAGGGGTTCCCAAAGGTGTGGACGGAGTCGGCGAAGAAGGAATGACACGAAGACAGCCTTCAGTTGATCAGCAGCCTAGTCAGGACCTCTAGCCAGGATCTCCAGCCAAAGTTCTGGTCGGAGTTCTGGTTAGGAACTGACGAGGATCTGATGTTTATTGTCTTGTTACATCCGTATTTATACCAGCCTATTTTAATCCTGTCAATTTCTATTACAAAGGTTAGGGCGTTTCTTATCTCCATTCCAGGGAGTAAAGATTATGTAGCTTAACTACCCGCCTGGCACTTAATTAAGGGGTTGTATCCCCTCCCTAACCTCAGGGAAAAATCCCCACCTGGGGAAACAACCTTTTTGGAGAGGTGACCTTGGTTAAAACACATAGCACTAAGGGGAGCAAACATATTAAGAACAGTATGCTATATACGCCAGGTCCCTTGAAACATATGCTGTGCAGATGTTTCTGCAGCGACTGTGTCAAGCAGCAAGGATGGACCGGCTTCCGGCAGTTGAGAACCACAAACCTGGATGGTTATAAGTGATCATTACTTATTTGAATAAATGAACCTTGTTTGAAAAGCTAACGCAAAAAAATTTAAAAAAATATATGTTTTTAATGATTTTTAGAGAGAGAATGTGAGAAGGAGAGATGAAAGCATTGAGGAGAGAGAAACATCATTGATCGGCTGCCTCCTGCATGCCCACTACCGGGGATTGAGCCTGCATGTGCCCTACCAGAATTAACCAGTGACCTCTTGGTTCATAGGTCAATGCTCCACCACTGAGCAACACCAGCTGAGCTAAAAATAAAACTATTTTTATCATTTCCTATATGAGTTTGATTTTTATCTGTCAGAAAACAGGACTATTAAAGAAGATAAAGTACATTGTAGACTTGTGCGTTTTATCTCTTGAAACAGATAAACAGATACTCTTAAATTAGTTCGTTTTAAGTATTCCTAGGCTTTGATCAGGATGTAGTCTGGAAATCACTGGTGTGGAGGACTTGAATGTGATACATTTTTTGTGCCAACAGTGTCTTTTATATTCTATATTTTTAGTCTCAAAAGTGGCAGTTGACATTTTACTTTTGTGTAATTGGTGGGATCAAGTGTATAAATGATTTCATTGCTGTGATCCTTATACATTTTTTGTAGTTGGTTTGAATTTATTTGGGGCTGACTAGATTGTAACGTGGGAGCAAGTTGGGAAGCCAACAAGAACTGATTGTGGTTAGTTGCTTAGAATGCTTACATGTTCTGTTTTTGTATATAAATACTCTGACAACAAACATAGTATGTAAAGTATGTAAATAAAGGTGCTATTGCTTATTTTAATGATCTTTCTTAACCTGACTTTTTAAATGTTACTTTTTTTAGAGATCAAGAAGCGGCAATGTAAGGTTCTGTTTGAGTACATTCCACAAAATGATGATGAACTGGAGTTGAAAGTGGGAGATATTATTGATATTAATGATGAGGTAAGGAAAACGTGTTAGAGATCAAGCAGCAGTTAGAATTAATGCTCTGGATATCAGAAAAATGCTTTGTAAGGATATTAAATTTTGTTACAATTTTTTGCAAGTTTATTGGTTTTCTTTTTTTAATAAAAATTTTAAGATACAGACTTTAAAATGAATCTTTAATGACTTAATATCTCATTGTCTTATATGTAGAAATAAAATTTCACTCATCCTTGCTATATCTAATATTTGTGTACTGTATTTGTTGACTTTAGGAAGACAAAACCTTGTTAAACTAAAAATTAATGTAATCTAAGTGGTTAAGAATATAAATAAACCTTTCCTTTGATTCTGAATTCACTTTAGGTACAAAGCAGTAAAATAGAAGGAATTTTACCTTTTACATAGTAAGGGAATACTTTAAAAAGAATCTTTAAAAAGCTTTGCATGGTTTGAATTATCACATTGAAATATTGCCCAAAAACATGTTTCCCTCATTTTAGTGTTTTAGAATGACATTTAAAAATATTTTAGCCCTAGCCAGCTTGGCTCAGTGGATAGAGCCTCGGCCCTAAGACTAAAGGGTCCCAGGTTGGATGCCGGTCAAAGGCACATACCTCGGTTGCAGGCTCTATCCCTGGCCCTGGTCAGGGGCATGTGCGGGAGGCAACCAGTTGATGTGTCTAACGTTGATGTTTCTCTGTCTCTTCTCCCTCCCTTCCACTCTGTCTAAAAATCAATGGAAAAATATCCTCAGTGGGGATTAATGACAACAACAAAAGTAATAATTTCACATCTCTGCTTTTACCATTAAAGGAATATTAAAGTTTTACTTGGCAGTTGAAATTCTCATTTTCAGAGTATATGTTTTGATATCATATAGTGCCACAGGGATTGATATTGTGTCCTAACATGTAATGTAGTTTATCACTTAGGTTTATGTTAAGTTCAATGTGTTTATACAAAGGGCAATTCTGTTTTATTTCTTCTAGTTGGCAATGATAATAATGTTTATTGAGCCTATATTATGCCTAAAAAAATGTTTTACATGTATTATTTCCTTTAAATTTTTAAAAAACCTAGAGATAGGAATTTTTATCCCAGTTTTACATATGAAGAGATTGAGTCATAGAAGATAAGTGATTGGCTGTTCCATTTACTGTTGTGGTAAAGACAGGTTCATGGGTGTGTGGGTCTGGAATTCAGATAGGGCACAGTAAGGATGACTTGTGTCTGTTCTTTGATGTCTTGGGGCCTCCACTGGAAAGATTCAAGGCTGAGTGCTTGTGGAATCATGGGAAGGCCTCTTCACTCACATTTCTGGTGCTTAGAAGACTTGAAGGTTAGGACTGACTGTGGAGAGCCTTTATGTAGCTTCTCCATCAGGATTGCCTTTTTTACTGTAGTTGGGGGAGGTCTCATAATAGTTGGACTTATTACATGGCAGTTTAGAGTTGTGGTTTTTTTTTAATATATTTTATTGATTTTTTACAGAGAGGAAGGAAGAGGGATAGAGAGTTAGAAACATCGATGAGAGAGAAACATCGATGAGCTGCCTCCTGCACACTCCCTACTGGGTATGTGCCCGCAACCAAGGTACATGCTCCTGGGACCTTTGAGTCCGCAGGCTGATGCTCTATCCACTGAGCCAAACTGGTTAGGGCAGTTTAGAGTTCTTAAAGTGTAAGCATTTCAGCAAACATAACCTTTTATAATCTAACTTTCACCACATTCTGTTGGTTACAAGCAAGATTGCAGGGGTTGGGGACAAAGGCCACCACTTCTTGGTGGGAGGAGTGTGTTAAGTTTATTTTGTAGGTGAGCATATGGGGTAGATTTTGTTTCAGACATCTTTGCCCAAGTTCATAGACCTGGCATGCAGAGGAGCTAGAATCTGAATCCACACAGTCTGCTTTTGAATCAGTGTTCTTTACCACCATACTACCTACCTCTTAAGAATTCCTTAATTAATAGGAATTATTATAGGGTTAGTTACCTAAGTACCCAGTTGCTGCCAATTTGGGATTCCAGGTGTAGATAATAATTTTTTGATGTTTACCTCTTTGTTGTGCCTGTTCAGTTTGGTCTACTTTCACAATTGAGTCCCCCTGAAAATGCTCAGGTTTTAGATTTTGGTTTACTTCTGAGCTTTTTCTCCTCCTTATGTGCCTCTTAGTACCTTGTAGTTATAATGCACCAAGCCAACTGTCCCTCCTTTCGGGTGTATGGATGCCTTCGAGCAGGGATCTCAAGTTAATCTTTGAGCACCCACTCCTACAACTAGGTAAAGAGGTTGGCTACTCAAAATTATTCATCAACAGAATCAAGTGCCTTTATTATTGGTATTTTTTCCTAGTCTTTTTAAAATATCTAATTATAGTGAAGAAAGGGTTCACTTTAACCAAACAGCTTGTTTCAAAACCTAATAAGGGATCGACTTTTTACTAGTGATATTCCCTTTAATGTGTTTCTATACATGACATTAAAAATTAACCTGAAAAAAAAATACTATTAAGTAACTTCATGAAAATTTAGTATCCTTGTTAGTGAATATAGATTTTTCTAAAGAGTTTGGTTTCTGAGGATATTTCTGGTTGTGGTGGAGGCAGTGTTTAGTAGAGCCTGAAATCTTGACTTTTAAAAGTAAATGTTTCTTTTTTATACTTGGGTTAAGACTTGCTATTTAAGTAAAAGGCTGAGGAATTTCATGTGTCTATTATTCTAATATTCATCAAACTTTTTCCAAATCAAAAATTTACAAATACTTAAATATTATGTCATAATTACAAACCAAGGCTCAGTAGTCTTTAAAAGAGTAAGATTCCAGAAGAAAACTATTTTCTTGCTATTAATACATTATTCTTGGTTATCTGATACTTTTATGAAAATTATTTCTTTATAGATTACAAGTTCTCATAGCAAATGTTGCAAAGTGCTGTTGATGTGGTTAATCCAATCTATTTAGATTTAATCTACGTAGAATATATTTTCCCATTGTATTTTCTTATAGGTTTAAAGGAATTATTTTGCATTACTATCTTTGTGCTCATGTACTTCTGTAGCTTAAATTTTTCCATAGGGGGAAGATTCTCATTTAGGAGAAGTTTTTTTTTTAATTTTTGAGTTGTGAACTCTTTCAGGTAGAAGAAGGCTGGTGGAGTGGAACCCTGAACAATAAGTTGGGACTGTTTCCCTCAAATTTTGTGAAAGAATTAGAGATAACAGATGATGGTGAAACTCATGAAGCCCAGGAGGATTCAGGTAAACTCAAAAATTTTTTAATAGATTTAAATAAACTTATATATCAGTGTTTATTTTATATTTTTTTGAATCTCTTTTTTTACTTTTGAACTGTGAGCTTTGGTTTATCTACTTTAAGAAAAAAACCCACCAACAATAACTTATGACAGGGTCTCAAAATGAACTAAGTAGGCAAAATAACAATGTTTTTTCCTCTGATGTCTGCTTTAGCTTGAAGTAAACCTATAGTACTATACTCTGATTGTGAAGTGATAATACTTATCTTATTTCTTCCCACTTAAGATATGCTTACATACAGTTTTTTAAAATACATATTTTTATTGATTTCAGAGAGGAAGGGAGAGGGAAAGATAGAAACATCAGTGATAAGAGAGAATCATTGATTGCCTGCCTCCTGCACGCCCCCCATTGGGGATCGAGCCTGTAACCGAAGCATGTGCCCTGATGGATGAATCAAACCATGACCTCCTGGTTCATTGGTGGATGCTCAACCACTGAGCGACACTGGCCAGGCTTTATACAGTTTTGATCTGATTTTGCAAATAGCCTATCCACAATTTTAGAAATTCCTCAAGTCAAAGGTGCTAAAGTCAGTCTTCAGTGCAGATACTGATTCCATTGAAAGATAGAAAATCATTGAGATAGGAATAAATAGAGGACTCATAACAAATAGACTTAGTATTTTACGTTACACTTATTTGAGAATGATTGGTACCAGTTCTGAAGTCAAAACTTACGTTTTAAGGATATATAGTAACCATTAGAGAACAAACAAGTCCTGAAAACATCTGGCTTAAATTTAATGGTACACTTACTCCATAGCAGACTGTCCCCTGATTTACTTTAGCTCCATGTTGTTATTTCTTATGTTTTATAGGTATTGGATCCTCTGATATTTGTTCTTAACATTAGAATATGGTATTAATTAAAACTTATCTTGAAATGATTTTTATAATGCTACATAAATTGAGCCCTTAAAATATGTACAAAATTTAAAGTCCAAGTGGGACCACTAGCAAAAGAAATCAAATTTAATTTGGATGTAGATTATTATTTTTATAATTGTAAATATTTTGGGCTTTTTTCTCGCATTGTTTAGCCTTATTTGAATTTTAGTAACCTTGCAGTTATATCTGTTAAAAATACACTTCCTTGCTTGTTTAACCTGTTTACAATAACAAGCGTCTAAATGTGGAGCTTTGTGATTATGGGGTGGTAAGACAGCGGTTTAAGTGCACTATAATTCCTGTTTTTTTAAACTGTAGGTTTTAGGCAGAGAATATTTGAATATTGATTTGAATGCCAGGAAGTGAGTGTGCTATAAAGATTTTAGAACTTTAGTGATAAAAGTATATAATCCTTTAAGTTTTAATTTAAGAGTTTGATCTTATACATTAAAGAATTGACCTTCACTCTTCCTGTGTCCTAACAAAGTGTAATAGCCTCTGTTTATAATTGGTATTTTAACAGTCTTTTTAGGTAGTAGTGTGTATTTCTAGTAGCTGTTATAGGAATTATAGTTGACTATATATTATGAAATGTTAATTTTTACTTATAGTATTGTAATGCCATGTCCACCACAATTTGATTGTTTTACATAGTTTCTCCTTACCCTCTTTTCATTTAGTAGAGCTCTTCTGTTCTTTTCTTTTAATCAATAAACTGAAATAAATGGGATAATGTTCTTGGTTTCACCAGTTAAACTCTAGCTATTACTGTTAAGATAATTCTGATTCTAGACAAAAGCTAGACAATATTTCCTGATCCTTCATGGATAATTTATTTTTATGCCCTCAGTTTTTATTGAAGGACCATAGAATAAAAGTTATAAGAGCCACTATTACATTTTTATAGGAGTGTGGTAAATTCATAATTTGTTCTGTTCTGCAAAATCTCCATTTATGTCTAATAAGTATCTTAAATTTAAGATGGTCAGAACTGATCTTCTGTCCTTTTCTTGGCACCCAGATCTACTCTAGACAGTCTTTTTATCCAAGTTAATGACAACTCCATCTCTCTCTTACTTAGATCAAAGACTTGGATTCACCTTTTACTCTTCTTTTTAATCTTACACTCTACTTGTCACCTACTAAATAAATGTGCAGAATCTATTTTCTTTTACTACCTCCACTGCTGCTACCCTGGTGTAAGTTTTATTTTGCTGTATAATTGTAACAGCCTGTTATTTTGCCATTACTTTCCTTCTGAATGTTTAGGTGCTCACTTCTAGTAGTTACACGTTTTAAGAAGTCAGGAACATTTTAGTCTCACAGCCTTTGTACTTGCTGTATATCTTTGGGAATGTTCTTCGAGATCTCCTTATGGCTTTTGGTCTGATTTCAATAGTCTGCTCAGAAGTCACCTTTTCAGTTAGGCCTTTCCTAATAGCTCTGGATAAAACAGCCAAAAGCTCCCATCCTCCACTCTAATTTCCTTTTCTTCTTTGATCTTTGACATATTTGTTATTGGTCCTTATTAATTTTCTTATTGACTGTACCCTTGTGTTAAATATACATTTTGTTTTGTTCATTGCTGTATATCCAGTTTCTAGAACATTGACACATTGATGCTCAATGAATGAATGAATAGTTTTTGTGGTTTACAGAGAACTTTTCAAACATTTTGTCATGTTAAAATCTCATAACTTTGGAGATTAGTTCACTCCTGTTTTAAAGGTGAAGAAATTGTAACTCTGAGATTATTTATCCATGGAGTGGTAAAAGTCACAATTGGAATTCTGTTCTGATCTTTTAAATTCACTATGCTATTTAACGTGTGGGGGTATGGATATTAGATGATTCTCATTATTTTATCCCTTTGTTTGCCTGTTGTCTTTTAATTTTAAAAAATCATGCCTGTAGAATTGTCTTCTCATATACTTTTATTCCTATGCAAATTATGAGCAGTGATATCAGTGGCATTTCCCATGGAGTCAATGTATCCTTAAATCTAAATTTGAAAGTCAATGCCAGTGAAGGAAAATTCCTAATATAAATTTAATTAATGCAAAATTCATATATTTGTTTATTCAATATATTGAGTGCTTATTGGTGAGCATATTGTGCAAGGTTCTGAGAATACAGTAGTGAGCAACATAGGCATGATTCTTCATATTTGAAGCTTTTGGTCCTTTGGGAAAGAAAAGACTTAAACAAGTGATTATAATTCCACATGAGAAATGTTTGTGACAGAAACTTTAGGGTGCTATAGATGTATGTTAGAGAAACCAAACTTAGCAGGGTATGAGGGACTGCGCCCTAGAGGAAGTTACAGATTGAGATCCCAAAATAGGTAGGAGATCCCTAGGCAAGTTTGTGACAGAAGATAAAGAGCATAGTATTTTCAAGATCCTGAAAGAGATTCAATTCAGAGGGATTGTAGAGTGTATAGTTGGATGTGGTGAGTGTTGAGGCTGGAGAAATTTTTGGGTCAGGTTTAAGAAAACAATGCAAAAATGCTAAATCCAGGCACCAAGAGTGAAATGATTAGATTGTTTTTAGATAGATTGGTTTGGTTGCATTGTTGAAAGTAGTTTGGAGAAGAGTAAAGACTAGATAAGGAGATTAGCTGAGAATGTTTTGATAATTAAGGTAGAAATAGTATCAGTTTAAACTAGAGGAGTGATCATAGGAATGAAGAAGCATGGGTAAAATAGGAGCTAAATAGGTGATATAAAGAACTGCACCATGTGATGATGGGAACTGTGAATGATTGAGAAGGAAGAGCCAGTGACTACCAGGTTTTTGGCTCAAGAAGCTTTGTTGTTGAATCATTACACTAAAATGTTTAAAATGGTTTTGGGGTCATCTAGAATTACATTCAAATGTTGGCTTTGTTACCGTGGCCTTGGGAAAGTTCCTAACATCTCTTTGCCTAGTTTACTTATTTTCAAAATGAGGAGTAATAATGCTAATGTTAAGCCTATGGGTAGTTATACAAATTAGATACAATTCATGTATAGTGCTTAGAAAGTGCCTGGCACAGAATAAGCCCGGAATAAATGGTACTACCATTTTAATTATTACTCATTGCTTTCTTACTGTTAAATATCAATGAGCTGATAATCACGGATTTTTAGGAAAATTATTCTTAAATTTTTCTTTGATGATTTACTTTAGAACTTAATTTCTTAGATTATAAGGCCTTTGAGAATTTGTTATGAGCTGTGCTTTTTTTACCCAGAAAAATGAACTGAAAAAATATCCACACTTTTCCTTGGGGCTGGTCATGGACTCATTGAGGCCTCTGAATAAGAACCTTTGCTACTGAGCAAGAATGTAGAAACAACTTTCTTACTCATATAACATTAGACTTTCTTTAATTTTTTTTTTTTACCATTAAATGGAAAATTTCATGGACTTACGTTACTTTATCCATGAGTTAAAAGGACAGATCTTGAACTGTTGACTTTTTAAGATAAAATTTTTTTAATATTACCAGTTTTTGTATTTGGAAACTACCACTTTTAAAAATGATTAACTTTATCTCTTTTAATGCTTAAGGTCTTACATTTCATATCTTTGCCCAAAGCTGTAAATTTTAAAAAATACATATTTTTGTTGATTTCAGAGAGGAAGGGAAAGGGAGAGATAGAAACATTAACGGTGAGAGAGAATCATCAATTGACTGCCTCCTGCACACCTCACCCTGGGGATTGAGCCCGTAACTCTGACATGTGCCCTGCCTGGCAATTGAACCCTGACCTCCTGGTTCATGGGTTAATGCAGCGGTTCTCAACCTGTGGGTCACGACCCGTTTGTGGGTAGAACGACCCTTCCACAGGGGTCACCTAAGACCAATGGAAAACACATATATAATTACATATTGTTTTTGTGCTTAATCACTATGCTTTAATTATGTTCAATTTGTAACAAAGAAAATACATCCTGCATATCAGATATTTACATTACGATTCATAACAGTAGCAAAATTACAGTTATGAAGTAGCAACGAAAATCATTTTATGGTTGGGGATCATCACAACATGAGGAACTGTATTAAAGGGTCGTGGCACTGGGAAGGTTGAGAACCACTGGGTTAATGCTCAACCACTGAGCCACACTGGCCTGGGCACAGAAGCTGTAAATTTGACATGCTCTTGTTAAGGATTTTGTATATTATGATTTCTTGGATTTCTTAATTAGCATTTTACTAATTGAAAATACCTAAATTGTTATTGTTTCACACAACATCCAGAAAAACATCAGGATAAAGTATATCTTACTCTTTTGAATATGTTAGTGCTCAGTCATTTAATTTATTATTTTTATTTGACATTTTTTATTAGTAGGCATAGAATGTAAACACTATGGAAGGCGGGGGGAGTATCAAGATTTTCTTGTCATTCTTCAAAAACGAATTATTCTTTCAGAATCTGTTTGGACTGGGCCCACCTTATCTTTCCCCTCTCAGGGGAATGGGAATGAAACTGCACCCGGATCCGTGACACAGCCAAAGAAAATTCGAGGGATTGGATTTGGAGATATTTTTAAAGAAGGCTCTGTGAAACTTAGGACAAGAGCATCCAGTAGTGAAACAGAAGAGAAAAAATCAGAAAAGGTAAAATCTATAAACTTTACTTAGATTAATATCACCATTTCTCTCATTAAGCATTTTTTAAAATGTAAAAATCACTTTGCAGCTCTTAAATGTTCTTTTTTGAGATCGCTGATCCTTGGTTAAGAAGATAGAAAACTCTTCAAGTTTACAGTGATTAATGTTTACATTTGATTTTTATAAAATTAGAATGTTTTGTGGTAAAATTTAACACAAACTCTCCTTAGTGGAAGCCTTAGAGTCTTAGTTGTCACAGTTTAAAAGTAGAAAAGGCAAGTCTTTTTTTTCCTTTGAAAACTAAAATTACATATTTAATTTGAAGTAGGTCTCAAATGGACCATTTTTAAATGGCTTTAAAAATGAGATATGAAGTGTATTAGGCACTGCTTAACTTTTCTCTGGCATTGTAACATAGGTCAAAGTGAATGTACCATACATTCTAAGCTCTAATAAGAGATTTAAAACTAAATCTTGTGAGTTTTTATTTTGGGGGGAAAAGAGCTACAATCTGAAGGGCATTTATTTCAAAGCTGTTGTTCCTGGTGTTAATTAATATCTGGGAGCTTTAGATGAAGTACTTGTTTCAGATAGGAGGCTTTCCTGTGATGTTTACGGCATTGTTTCCTTTTTAGTTCTCCTTTGTATGTCTTTATTTAACTCTTAAAAGTTTAAAATATTTCAGTATTTACTTGCCTTGTTTAGCTGTATTTCACTTTAAGACTGTTTTGGTTGGTGAAATATATATTTAAGTTTTCTCCTAACATGTTTAGTTTTAACTTTTTTTATTTCTTTCTTAGCTTGCTACATATTTTCTCATGTAATTGTGATTTGGGTTCAGGAAAGAAAACTTGTATTTTGTACCTTATCTTCTCCTAGCTATAAGAGTTCTAGCCTTAAGATTTTGGGGCCTAATTGATTCTTGGTTTTCAAGATAAAGATTGGAATTCTTGTGGATTTTGGAGTGGTGCTGTAGCTATAACAGCTAGGAATGTTGGAGAGGCAATGTCTGCATTGGAGAGCCATTAGAATAGATGATATGGGGTCTCTTTTCAACTCTACAGTTTAGGATTATATTGAAACACTTCATTTGATTAATGACGACACTAACATTTTTTAATTATTAAGAATATTTTTATTAAACAAAGTAAAACTGCAAAAACAAATATGTGCCTTTTTCCTAAAGGCCACTGTTTCAAAGTGCCATTTTATCTCTGGTTTGAGAATCATCTATTTTGCTTTGGAAGGTCTTTCAGGACAACTTGAACGCTCTTGTCAGGTGGGAGTAGTAAAGGTGAATATGTGTGCAAAACATTAGCAGTGGCATTTAGAAGATGATGCCCAGGACCACCAGTTGCAGGTTCAGGTGGATTAATAAGACACAGCTGTGGAACAGGGATTCACACCTATTTTTCGGGTATGGATCCTCGGGAAGGTTGAAGACTTAGTGGCACATTTTTAGCTCATTTTGTCTTTCCTGTTGAATCTCAAGGCTTCATATTACGAAGTGGAGTGTTTTGCTGCTGGAAAAGCTGAATGAAATTTTGCTTCTAGATATTTAACAAAAAGTTCTGAAAAAGAACCCTTATGCACAGCTGCTGTATTGGTCTCAGAGCTATGTGGGGGACACTTTTTGATCTAAGCCACTTGGTCACCCACCTAGTAACACTGCCTTGCTCTTTATTGAACAACTGTTCCATTTCCTTGCTTTTGATATGCAGGGTGCTTCCCATCAGTTGTAACATTTCATGATGTTCATGTTTAGGTGTTTGAAAATATCCTCTAAAGCAGTGGTTCTCAACCTGTGGGTCACGACCCCTTTGGCAGGGGTCGCCTAAGACCATCCTGCATATCAGATATTTACATTACGATCCATAACAGTAGCAACATTACAGTTATGAAGTAGCAACAAAAATAATTTTATGGTTGGGTCACAACATGAGGAACTGTATTTAAAGGGCCAGAAGGTTGAGAACCACTGCAAAGAGATTTCTCATTTGGACTCTTCTGTGCTACTTAGTAAGTTAATTAATTTCTTTTTTATGTTATCCAATACTTCCTGTTGGACCTCATTTTGTTAAATTCTTTAATTTGTTCTTGTTCTGATACAAGCCAGCATTCATTTTATCTAGACACCCCCCACCCAACGCCCCCAGTTTTCCATCTAGACCAGTGGTTCTCAACCTTCCTAATGCCCTGACCCTTTAATACATGTTCCTCATGTTGTGGTGACCCCCAACCATAAAATGATTTTCGTTGCTACTTCATAACTGTAATTTTGCTACTGTTATGAATCGTAATGTAAATATCTGATATGCAGGATGTATTTTCATTGTTACAAATTGAACATAATTAAAGCATAGTGATTAAGCACAAAAACAATATGTAATTATATATGTGTTTTCCATTGGTCTTAGGCGACCCCTGTGGAAGGGTCGTTCGACCCCCAAAGGGGTCGCAACCCACAGGTTGAGAACTGCTGTGCTAGACTGTCTGCCTTCTGTATCAATTCAGCTAGTACCAGCTTTATTTTAGCTAATGTGTGAGCACACTGCTTTTCTTGTTCCTGAGACAGAAAGCTGTAGTGCACTTTCATCTTTCTCCTTGGTGACAACATTCCATTGTTCCTGCAATGACTCTACCTACTGACTGACTCGATGGCTTGCATTAGAAGGTGAATCTGGCTTTTCCTACAACACTGTGACTTTCCTTCTCAGATTAGTTGCTCCATCTTCTGTAGCCCAGGCTTCTGGCAAAGAGAAATCTTATGATCCTAAAGCATGGTTAAGGGATCTCTCCAGCTCCTGCTTTAAGTGTAATTCTTTGTCACATATACACTGAACCTCCTTCCCATAAGGCACAGTTTTCCATTTGTTTCTGTTTCAGTGCAAACAGGACTTCATTTCCCTTCTGATGAAACATAACTTTCTCTTCCTGGAGTGATGTGACTGCCTTTAAGAGCTGATTTAATTGGTCCTGCCCTGTTCTTTTTTTTTTTTTTCAATAATTACTCTAAAACAAGAATCTTTTTCGTCATTGCAGCATATTTCAATTCTTTTTCTTTTTTTTTTTTTTACCATAGAAAGCCACACATTTGTCTTTTGTAGTGCTTGATTTTCTGTTTGCTTTTCCTGTGAAGTTTCTACTATTTTTTCATTTCCCTGTTAGATTATCCATATGTTGACTTCAAAATTCAGTAGTCTCCTCCTTTAGGTTGGTTACCATCTACCTCAGAAGTTTATTTACACTCACTTAATTAGTGAAATATTCACTTGAAGAAAGAAATTCATCACATTTTGCTTTGAATAAGAGCTCTTTTTTCCTTAGATTTTGTAAAACATCCTGTTTCTCCTTTAGCTGCTTAATTTCTGAATCAGTTTGTTCACGTTGTTTTCTTTCTGGTTCAGAGGTGGCAGCAATTGAATCAGTCAATCTCTGGTGATCTTTCTCTCTTTCTAGAGGGTTCTAATTGTTGCTCCTTTTTCCTGCATTGATTTTCTCAGCCCATGAAGCCCTTCTGGAAGCAATTTAGAAGACTCACTGAGTTCATCAGATTTCATTGCCTTCAGAGAGAGTGCATTCTGTGGTCATTGACCCGGTGGAGGGCTGTGGTAAAATAAGCTCAACTGACTAAAAGAGCAGAGCTGCCTTACACTGAGCTGAATTAATGCTGGTTCCTTCTCCAAAAGTTGGTTGTTTTCAATGAGATTGTTACCTTGGTTTAAGCTACTCTGTCTCATTATTTTATTTTCAGCAGCAGACAGTGCTTGTTGCACTCAGTGATTCTTCCATGAATGTAGTTTGGGGAAGAACTTTTTTCTTTCTTGTCACACTATTTTGCTTTGTAACATCAGGCTTCAATTCACATTCTTCAGCTGTTTTCCTTTTCCTCATTCTTTTCATCTTGTTCTTTCAGAAGGTAATTTTTTCTTGAGGAATTTATTTCTGATTTAAAATCCTTTGGTCTTTTCATGAACTGTTTTTTTGTGTGTTTTTTTCTGTTTGTAGAATTTGAATAGACTTTTGCATATCATAAATTTTAGATTTCGTGATATTTAGGTCACTTTCTCAGATTCCCCAGCCACCCTGCTGTAACAGATTTTCAAGTTATTCAATTTTTTCTTCATATTCTTTTTTTTTATGACTAGAGGCCTGATGCACGAAGATTTGTGCAAGAATGGGCCTTCCTTCCCCTGGCTCTCCAGCTGGAGCCACCTTTGCACCTTCGCTCCATCCCCGAGCCTCCTTTCTGCCTTCCTTCAGGCTCAGAGCCGCCTTTCCGCCTTCCCATGCTGCCCAGAGGCCCTGAGCGGCTGTGGCGGTGCTGAACACCTGCATAGTCGCCATGGCGACGATGCAAGTGTCCTGATCTACCCAGCTGCTCAGCACCTGTGTATGCAAATGAACCTGCCATCTTTGTTGGGTTAATTTGCATACTCATTCCTGATTGGCTGGTGGGCGTTGTGAAGGTACAGTCAATTTGCATCTTTTTATTAGTGTAGATACCTACCCCTTACTTATTCTACTTTTTGTTTGGGAACATTCTGTAGCATTGCCATTTCAAATTGATGTTTATCAATATACTTGTTTTGCTTCTGTTTAAGTTTCTTGATGGTTTATTGGAATTTGTAGAATTCATGGTGATCATAGCTGTTGGCTGTGGAAGTCTGAACAAAACACCTCTAATGGCTAACTTCAGCCTCAAGTATTACAGTTTTATTGACAGTTTATTTCCTTGTGATGAAATCAGGTTAGGAAAGCCCATGTCATCTCCATTGGAAGCTGAAGCATGAAGGTTGATGTCATCACCACTGAAGGTGATGCAGGGGTGATGGTACAAGGCCAACTCCAGAATTTCTCACTGATTGTCTGACTGCAGCTTCTGCACCTTGTTCTTTAGCACAATCTGTCTTCCTTCCAGAAGTTTGATTTCCAAGTCTTTTTGTTGTAGTTGATGTCAGAAAGGAACATTTTTGTTGCTTTATTTGAAGCTCTGACGTTTCATACTTCTGTTCTAGGTCACCACAGAGAGTTTCAGGTTTCTCATTCTCTGCTTTTGAAATTGCCTGAGTGGCTTCCACCTCCTTCTTCTTAGAGTCAAGTGTTTCTTCCTCTCTTTTTTAAAAATATATTTTTATTAACTTCAGAGAGGAAGAGAGAGATGGAAACAACAATGATAAGAGAGAATCACTTATTGGCTGCCTCCTGCACGCCCCACACTGGAGATCTAGCCCACAACCTGGGCATGTGCCCTGACTGGGAATTGAACCATGGCCTCCTGGCTCATAGGTTAACGTTCAACCAACTGAGCCACGCCGACCAGGCTCTTCCTCTTTTTTTTTTTTGATTATTTCATCAGCACCTCTTTTGTGAAGTTAGAGATATGTCTCTGAAAGGAGCCGCAGTGCTGCCTACTTGCCCCAGAGAATGGCCTTAGCCAGAGCCAAGGCCACCAAACCAGGAGGCCATTGCTGTGGGTCATAGGACTGACCTGATCCGCCTGCCAAAAATGTCCAGTGCCCAGGGACAATCCCACCAACTGTCCAGGAATTGCTGCATGGGCAGGGCTAAGAATCAAATCACAATGATCCATTTCTAGGCCATGCCTGAGTGGTGGAAGGGTCTTTCCACGTAGGGGACACCTGGGAGCTGAAAGGTCTGGCCTGGGCCTGACAAGGTGGGCTCCTCTGTCCCAGTGACTGTTTCCACTCCACCAACATAAACTCTACTGCCACTATGGCCACTGTGAAGGCATTGCCTTCAAACACTCCCTACATGCAGGCAAACAGAAACTACACATTCCCTTTGACTTTTTTGTCACACAGCTCATGTTGTCCTGCAGCTTGTGATTTCCATGCCACCATTTTTTTGTTGTTGTTGTTGTTTTACATTTGGGGTAGAATTCACACAGTGACACACATTCATCTTAAGAGCACAAATGGGTGATATTTGGTAGATATCTGTGCCTGCGTATTGACTCCGACACTAGTGATTTTTTGATTGCCATTTATAATGTCCACTATTCCAGAGTTGTAATTATGATAGTAGTCTCAGGGTCACCCTACGTGATGGACTTGCGAGGCTTGCTTTGATCACTGACCTAGGAATTGATAAAGTAGGGAGCACATTTGCTATGTTTGTAGATGACACCAGATTGGAAGATATGGTGGTTAGAATTAGGAGGAATTAAAGTGTTTTAAAATTTAAACAGAACAGCCCTGGCCAGGTGGGTTCGATTTTTATTCAGGGCACATACCTAGATTATTGGTTTAATCCCTGGTCAGGGCATGTATGGGAGGCAAACACATTTTTTTTTTTTTTACATTTTTAAAAATATATCTTTATTGATTTCAGAGAGGAAGAGAGAGGGAGAGATAGAAACATCAATGATGAGAGAGAGTCATTGATTGGCTGCCTCCTGCACATCCCCTAGTGGTGATCAAGCCCACAACCAAGACATGTGCCCTTGACTGGACTTGAACCTGGGACCCTTCAGTCCACAGGCTGATGCTCTATCCACTGAGCAAAACCAGCTAGAGCAAGGCAAACCTATTGATGTTTTTGTCTCACATAGATGTTTCTCTCTCTGCCTCCCTCCCCTTTCCTCTCTTTAAAGTCAGTGGGTAAGTTAGCAATGTGTTCAGATTTTTAACTAAAGCAATGAGATCTAAGGTCAAATAGAATGTTATTTCTGGGAATAGGACTCAAGGAAATGGTATAAAATGGCAAAGGACTTAACTGTAGTAAATTATAGTGGAAAGTTGTCTACTAGACTATAGTTATAATAATGACTATCGTTATAATGACCTTAATGGTATTTTCATTGCAATAGGAACAATGAAGTACCAAAACTCACTCTCTCTTTCTCTCTTTCTTTCTCTCTCTCTCTACCTCTGTCTCATTGAAGGAAGTTTAATGATGTTTAAGAGCTCACTTTCTGACTTTCAATCTGGGTTCTGCTAAATTACTCTTCTCATAGTCGGATTATGTAACTGTTTCCTAGTCTATAAAAGGAACAAATGATAGTGCCTGCCTTATGCAGGGTGTTCTGCAGACTAAGTTATAATGAATGTAAAGTTCTTAGCTCAGGGTTTGGCCCATAGTAAGTTTTTAAATGCTATTGTTATTTTAGAGGTTCTAAAATTAGGGTAATGTATTATGAGTATCAGTATTTTTTATCATAAAACCAGGAAGTTTTAAAAGTTAGGTGTTCTGAGCTATCATTTCACTTTTGAAATCTTTCTCTTTCTTATGGTAGAGTTTTCAGTCATGTTACTAAGTACTATTAGGGAAAACTGGATACCTGTAAATGTAAACTTTGTTTAACAGCGTTTTCTTTATTCTAACTTAAAATAGTTGATCTCATCCTTTTCTATTGTAGCCCTCAATCATACAGTCACTAGGATCCAGAACTCAGAACACGGAGATAACAAAATCAGACACTGAAGGTAAAACAAAAGGTAAGTGTTTCAATAAAATCTTCATATTAGGAGTGAAACATGCTCAGAAATTGATATTTGTTGAAGGCATTTGTCAACACCATACCACTTGATCAGAGTATTAAATCCTGCTAGCTATAGGTGTCATGAGGTCAAAGATTTTAATATGCTTTGTTCACTGATGTTCTACCCTGACAGTTAGAACTGTGCCTAGAGCATAGCAGGAACTTCGTAAGCAGTTGCATGGATATGATTAATGAAATTATTACTTAATTTCACATATGGTATTGGCTGAAATTATTAAATTCATTTTAATAGTTTCTAGTATACATTACTTTGCACTAGATAGAAACTTAAGTATTTGTGGAAAGAATCAATGTATATAAGTTATATTACTTACATTCTTTATTTTAGCTAAGGAATATTGTAGAGCGTTATTTGCCTATGAAGGTACTAATGAAGATGAACTTACTTTTAAAGAGGGAGACATAATCCACTTGATAAGTAAGGTAAGATCTTTCTCTGGTTTGAAATCATATGTAATTTATTCATAGAAACATTTTTTCAGTATTCTTATATTCCCCCTAGCACCTGAGCCCTGGAAGTGCTGGGACTTGTCATGTTTGTTTCTGTGTCCTGAGAACCTGGCACATAGTGAGAGGCACGAGTGTGTGTGTGTGTGTGTGTGTGTGTGTGTGTGTGTGTGTTTAGGCAACTTTGTTGTAATTGATATTATTGGGAATTATTTTTACCGTCATGTTGCGTTTTTCTTTAACCTTAACCCACCTTCAGGTTTCTGTTCGTACTTTCTCTTTTACCTCATCCCATTTTATTTGAACCTACTGTTTGTTGTTTTGTTTTTAACACATTAAGCGCCCAGTAAGTCACTGTGACTGACACTATACTTTCTGTCCGGAAGACAAAACAGGCTGGGCGCTTAACGTGTTAATATTTAAAAAAAAAAACCCACAAGGAATAATGAGGAAACAATTTAAATGTCCCTCAACATGTAAAAATTATCCTGTGGAAAGTAGTGCAGCTAAACAGTATTATTGGGATGTAGGCAAAATCCTATAATTAGTCTTTGTAAGAGAGCAAAATTATAAATATTTTGTTTTTGGTGTAACCCCATTGAATCATTTTTGAAATTTATTTCTATTGTTTTAAATTAATGATCAGCTGATTCACTGTATGCCATTTTCAATATTCATACAGTTTGGATTAATTTCTCATGGAAGGATGGCATTTGGAAGAAATTGAAGAACTTGTTAATTTCTAAACCAAGTGAATAATGTGATTAATATTGAGTATTAACATGTTGGGAAGAATATTTAGTAAGATACAATTTGGAAATTCATATTCTCTTTTCACCCTCCTCTCCTACTTCCTTTTCTTTTTCCTTTCTCCTCCCCAAGAACTTTCTATCCTTGTAAATTAAATTTAAAACACTTGACTTATAAACCCAACTTTATAACTGCTGCTAGAAGCAATAGTGAGGAATATTTTTTATTAGGAGGATCTCATGATATGTTTAGGTATTTTTTTTCCTTGTAAAAAATAATGAAATTCAATAATTTTCTATAATTTTTTCTTATTTAAAGATAACCCTTATTTTAATTATTCTTCATGTTGAATTTTAGGAGACTGGAGAAACTGGCTGGTGGAAGGGTGAACTTAATGGTAAAGAAGGAGTATTTCCGGACAATTTTGCTGTTCAGTTAAATGAACTGGATAAGGACTTTCCAGTAAGCTTTATTTTTCAATGATGATAATAGTTTAAAGAACCTTTTTTCAATATTTTTTAAAAAACAGAATGTTTACATTGTTACTAAATACTGTTATGAGGGTGTTTTAGATTCATGTCTTCAAGTAACTTATTTGAATAATAGTAAAAACAAAAAGTATTTCTGTTCTGTCCTTTATTCCTGGTTTTCTTTCCCTGCTGATAATATTGGAGAGTAACCTTTGACTCATTACTTTTTAAAAAAAAATACATTTTTTATTGATTTCAGAGGGGAAGGGAGAGGGGGAGAGAGATAGAAAAATTAATGATGAGAGAGAATCACTAATCAGCCGCCTCCTGCATGCCCCCCGCTGGGGATCGAGCCTGCAACCTAGGCATGTGCCCTGACTGGGAATCAAACCGAGACCTCCTCGTTCATAGGTGGATGCTCAACCTCTGAGCCATACTAGCTGGGCTCATTACTTTATTTAATTAAGTGGGAGGGGAGTCAGAGGTGGTGGAGATGGGAAAAGCAGTGGGGGGAGAGGGATACCTGCAATCATGTCAACATTAAAAGTTTTTTTTTAAGGGAAGAAAAGAAACACCAACACATACATACACACACACACACCTTTTAATATGGAAACAGATACCCTTAATAAATTATAAAAAAATAAAATATTACATGCAGTGGGAAAAGAAAAAGAAAAAAAGCTGGCCATTCTAGTTAGATAAATTAGCACTTAGCTGGAAGACATTATATTTTTATTTAATTTGTTGAAAATAAGGCAATGTAGATCTTACTGTTACTCTGTCAGTTCATTTTTTGGTAGGATAAAAAGCAGTCTTTGCCTCCTTATAGGATTTATTATACTAGTATCTATTTTACTTCTCACGGTGAATAAAGTAAATCTGAGTTTCATCAGTAATCTTTTGTTTCTGTGCACCTTGATCCCTTCTTCCCCCATGGAGGGATGAACCTAATTGAGTTTTAAAAATATATAGGGGGGAAGGGAGTTAGAGTGCAGATACACAGCAAGACAGTCTACCACATTTGACTTAGGCAATGCAAAGCTCTCTAATCTTCTCAGTCTCTCATTTAGTTAAGTAAATTACCAGAGGTTACTCTGTGGAGGCTCACACTGTTTGAGGCCCTTCCTTAGCTGGATTTGATTCACTATTGATTCAGCCTCCTGTGTTCTTTATTTTTATACTTTTTTTTCCCCTGCTTATTGAATTTAGGGAGAGAAAGAAACATCAATTTGTTGTTCGATTAATTTATGCATTTATTGGTTGATTCTTGTATGTGCCCTGACTGGGGATTGAACTCGCAACCTTAGTGTGTGGAGAATGGAGATGGCGCTCTAATCCACTGAACTACCTGGCCAGGGCTTTTTCTTAATGAATACTTTTTTTTTTTGGTCTTTTTTTATTTATTTATTTATTTTTATTTATTTTTATTTTTTTTTAAATTAAATCTTTATTGTTCTGATTACATTTGTTCCTCTTTTTTTCCCATAACTCCCCTTCTCCCAGTTCCCGCCTCACCCTCCGCCGTCACTCCCCACCCACTGTCCTCATCCATAGGTGCACGATTTTTGTCCATTCTCTTCCCGCATCTCCCATTCCCCTTCCCCCCCCCCCAAGAATAGTCAGTCCATTCCCCTTCTATGTCCCTGATTCATTGTAATCACCAGTTCATTCTGTACATCAGATTATTTATTCACTTGATTCTTAGATTCACTTGTTGATAGATGCATGTTTGTTGTTCACAATTTGTATCTTTACCTTTTTCTTCTTCCTCTTCTTAAAGGAAACCTTTCAGCATTTCGTATAATACTGGTTTAGTGGTGATGAAGTCCTTTAGCTTTTCCTTATCTGTGAAGCTCTTTATCTGACCTTCAATTCTGAATGATAGCTTTGCTGGATAAAGTAATCTTGGTGTAGGTTCTTGGTATTCAGTACTTTGAATATTTCTTGCCATTCCCTTCTGGCCTGCAAAGTTTCTGTTGAGAAATCAGCTGACAGTCGTATGGGTATTCCCTTGTAGGTAATTGAGTCTCTTTCTCTTGCTGCTTTTAAGATTCTCTCTTTGTCTTTTGCTCTTGGCATTTTAATGATGATGTGTCTTGGTGTGGTCCTCTTTGGATTCCTTTTGTTTGGGGTTCTCTTCGCTTCTTGGACCTGTAAGTCCATTTCTTTCACCAGGTGGGGGAAGTTTTCTGCCATTATTTCTTCAAATAGGTTTTCAATATCTTGCTGTCTCTCATCTTCTGGCACCCCTATTATTCTGATATTAGTGCGCTTGAAGCTGTCCCAGAGGCTCCTTACACTATCTTCACACTTTCGGATTCTTTTTTCATTTTGCTTTTCCAGTTGGGTGTTTTTTGTCGAATCTTTGGTTTGATTCTTGTGCTCCTCTGGTCTGCTATTGGGTATAATATTCTTTATTTCAGTCCGTGTATGCTTACTTTCTAATTTCTTTATCGTAGCATCGAGGGTCTCATTAGTTTTCGTGAGGCTCTGCTCAAGTTTATAGCAAGCCCTCAAAATTGCGATTCTTAGCTCCATATCCTCCATTTCTGTCATGTTTTTTTGTCTCCGCATCTTTTATGCTTTCTTGGTGCACCCCCTTGTGGTCTTTGTGCGCAGTCTTGTTCTAGTTAAGCCTTAATTGTTGTAGTTAACACTAGAGGGATTTGACCACCAGGCAGACTGGCTGTAGGAATCAGCTGTGTGGAAAACGTCTGTCTTCTGGGGAGGCGCTAATCCAGCCTTTGCCTGAGGCGATCCGGCAAATGGCTCTGCGCAGGGCTTGGGCGGGGCGGGATCTACAGGGCGGGGGGAGGGAGCGGGATCAACAGGGCGGGGGGAGGGAGCAGCTATGGCTGCTCTCAGTCCGTCTCCAGGGGCTCTGCCTCTCTGTCCCAGCAACCGCTGCAAACCTCGGAGGGACCGTAGCCAGACAGTCCCGCTTCTCCCGTTTGAGTCTGGGTCCCTAGAGACTCTCCCAGAGTCTGAGACTCACTCCCGACCTAAAACGACAACCGCGCCCTCAGCCACCAGCCCGCTTTCGCGTGCACCTCGGTACCTTTGTATTTTCCACATTGCGCCTCCTCTGAGCCCCGGTTTGCTGTTCTCTTTCCTTCTAGTTGTAGAGTCTCTCTTCAGCCAGCCTTCCTGTGGTTCTGGGTGATGTCCGTTCCGTCTTTTAGTTGTATTTTTGAAATGGTTGTTTGCGGCAGCGGTCTCCGGTGTTTACCTACGCCGCCATCTTGGTCTGTCCTTTTTTTTGGTCTTTTATTGGATGCTTGTACCCTGTTGATTATTAGTTATTTTAAATTTGGAAAAACCAAATTCACATACTTAGAAAGGTGTCTTGAGTTTTTTAACTCATTAGGTAAATCCTTATAAATCTAAGAGAATTTGAATAAATTAAGGAAACATATACCTTTGCTTTTATCTTCTTTTTGATCATTCTGAAGAATCAAGAATGAAAGCTACATATATTTACTAGCTGCTCTTTTTGTTGTTTAAACAATGAGTATTTCTTTTCCTTTCCCTGCTAACCCTCCCCACCCAAGTGTCAATTGCTAAACACAGTGAAATGGTACATAGAAATCTTAAACTAGGGGAGGCAGAACAGAACAGTTTTGCTCTTCAAGAATTCGTAGTTTTATCTAACACTGATAAATTTTGAATTTTGATCAAGGAGGTATTCTAATAGAATAAAATTTTCTCCATGACCTTTTGTGGAGTTGTTGGATTTTATTTTATAATTTTGAGCAGGTAGGGATTAAGGGGAGATGTTCATATAATTTTGATTTTTAATGATCAGAATTTATTTTAAGTATATTTAATATGTAAGTATTGAACTGTTTTCACCATTATTATTTTAATAGAAACCAAAGAAACCACCACCTCCTGCTAAGGGTCCAGGTATGTAAGAAAACTGTTTTTTCAGTTTGCTGTTTTCATATCTTTAAATTCTAAAATGGTGAAATTTGGTGTTATGTACACCATTTATTTTCATTAGCAAAAAAAGTATGTGCTATGTATCAAGGTATGAAGTAGGAATGTTGAAAATATATACTTTAGTTCTATGTCATTTTTATTAAGAGAATTGACTAAGAACTGCTGAGAAATTTAATATATTGACCTGACAAATTATTTTTTCTGTCTTTTCAGATGAAATTTATTTTTTAATGTCTCAAACAAATGCTGATTTTTTATGTACTCTTCCTTAAGGGAGTGTGTTAGGGATTAAAGAAACTAGAAGAGTTTATTTTTTTAAACAGTTGAATTAAACAAATCTAGAAGAATTTTCCAGAGTTAATGTTTTATAATCTGGCTCTTTGTCTATGTCTGTGAATTTCAAAGCATCCAATTTCTGATGTTTATAAATACAGTACAATTTTTTCTGAAAGATTTGCTCTTTATAGAATAATGCAAGTCCTTTCCTGCTCAATAGTTTTAGCCTTGTATCTGCTGACCTAATCCCAGACCATGGAAAACACAAGTTAAAAATAACTTTTATATAAGATAGTTTTGGAGGCTTTTTAGACACTAGTTAAATTGGTCCTACAAAGTTAATTAAAATCTTCTATATATATAAAAGGCTAATATGCAAAGTGTCCCCTTGGGAGTTTGCCAGCTCCCTATGATATGCACTAACCACCAGGGGGAGGTGCGGAATGAAGGAAGGGCCCGGCCAGCAGCCGGAAGGCCCCAATCGGCCCTGATCGCTGGCCAGGCCTAGGGAACCTGCCCGTGCACAAATTTTGTTCACCTGGCCTCTAGTTATATAAAATAAAACACTTAATTCCACAGTTGCTGTAGCAGCATTTCAAGTCTCAACAGTCAATATCAGACAGCACAACAATAGAATATTTCCATCATTGTAGTTAGTTCTCTGGACAGTGGTGGTGTAGAGGACATGAATACCTTCATTTGACAAAAAAAAACAACAACAAAAAACTCAGATTACAGAGTTATTACTTACTCATGCTAACAGTGGGAGGTTTAGCATTAAATTGAGCCTAGTGATTGTGCTTTATTGTTCTTTTTGTTGACCATGTTTTCATCTGATGTTATTTTTAAATGAACCTTTACTAAAATTGTTTTTGTGCTGTAAAATGATTTTTTTAAGGTATGAACTTTGTTTTTTTCCTTAGCCCCAAAGCCTGAGCCGATATCTATAGAGAAAAAGTATTTTCCTGTAAAGCCTGAAGAAAGAGGTATGCCTAATTTTTCCACTTTAAAAAAAAAATAACTTTCTTTTGTTGTCTCGCCACACTGAGCCATTTATACTGATATTTAATAAATGTTTAGTATTTACTTTGCAATGTTTGGTGTTTTCTGGGAGGAATAGTTTGTCAAGATCCATAAGATGTTAAGATTTTACTCAAACTGACACCAATTTATATCCACTAAAATGTTAAACCATTTTTTTTTTAGTAAGGATTTAGTATTTATTCATAGTTATTTCAAATAATGTATAAGAAAACTAAGCATAAACATTCATACTTTTATTATTTTTATAGTGCCCCAGTTGAGAAACATTGTTAAAATAGGGTTATTTAAAACATGGAAGTGATTAATTATGTATTGTTCAATTTTCACTTCACTTATCATGTAAACTTGAACGTTATTCAGGATACCTGTATGTATTTTGTTAAAAAACATTACTTCAACTCAGCCAGTGTGGCTCACTGGTTGAGCATCCACCTATGAACCGGGAGGTCCCAATCAGGACACATGTCCAGGTTGCAGTGTGGGGCATGCAGGAGGCAGTTGATCAATGATTCTCTCTCATCATTGATGTTTCTATCTCTCCCTCCTTCTCTGAAGTCAATAAAAATATATTTAAAAACAAAGAAAAAACATTACTTCATTACTTATTTTTGTGGCTATTATTAGTTTGTAGAATATACCTCCTTTGTACAGAAAGATCTGGAATGGTTATATCTAGTAGATGAGGCTATATTTACCTGCAAAAACATGAATACTGTTTTAGAATGATTTTGTTTCTGCTGCCTTTCTTTGTTTCTTACCTAACGTGTGACTGACCTCTCTTAACTGATTTCCCCTACTTTAGTTCCTTGTCTTGCTTATATTTTACATCTTTACAGAATTCATTTTTTTAATAGACTATATTTTAAAACAGTTTTTTTTAATTTATTGATTTGAAAGAGAGAAAGAAAATTGATTTGAGAGAGAGGGAGAAAAAGAGAAAGATAATTGATTTGTTGTTCTACTTATTTATGCATTCATTGATTGATACTTGTATGTGCCCTGACTAGGGATCGAACCGGAAACCTTGACTTTATTGGGGCAGTGCTCTAACCAACTGAGAAACCCATCCAGGGCTTAGAACAGTTTTAGAGTTAAGCAAAATTGAATGGAAGGCACAGAGTTCCCATATACTAATTACCTGCACACATGTACAAACTTCTCCACTATCAACATCTGCACCAGAGTAGTACAGTACTACATTTGTTATAATCAGTTCACCTCCATTGACACATCATGGTCATCCAAAGATTATAGTTTTCATTAGGGTTCACTCCTGGTGTACATTTTACGAGTTTGGACAAATGTGTAATTTGGTAAGTGTACATTTATAATACCATACAAAATAGTCTCGCTGCCCTAAAAATCCTCTCTGAGGGGACTTTTCATTTCTTTCTGCTCCGAATTCCTGACAACCACTGATCTTTTCATTTTCTCCATAGTTTTACCTTTTTCAGAATGTCATATAGTTATAATCATACAATGTGTAGCTTTTCACATTGGCTTCTTTTACTTTGTAATAAGTCTTTAAAGTTCCTTCAAGTCTTTCAGAGTTTAATTGCTCATTTCTTTTTAGTGCTGATTAATATTCTGTTATCTGGGGCCATTTATCTACTGAAGGGTTGTTTCCAGCTTTGGTAGTTATGAATAAAGCTCTCTTCACATCTCCATGCAGGTTTTATATATCTGTTTTCATTTCATCAGGTTAAATACCAAGGAGTGTTATTATTAGATCATATGGTAAGAGTATGTTTAGTTTTATAAGAAACCACCAAACTGTCTTCCAAAGTGTGTGTACCATTTTGCATTCCCACCAACAGTGATTGAGAGCTCCTATTGCTCAATATCCTGTCCAGTATTTGGTATTGTTGGGAACTGATTCCAAATTATATTTTTGTTACCATCTTCTACTGTTTTCACTCACTAAATGCAACAACCAGTCTTTTCCCTGAATATGTTATGCACCTTCATAGCTTTATCTCTTATTCAGTAATTGAGCTCTGCGTGTGTAATGCAAAGCGCTGAGGTTTGGTAAAACCTCAGGGTAATGCTTGCCAATTCCAAAGAAATAGCCTGGAGAACTGGCTGTGAAAGGCATGGATTTATTAGGACTTACTGGTACATGCACACCAGGGCCATGCGGTAAAGTTTTTCCTGCTGCACCGGCTACCACTTTTGAAGTTGAGCTATTAACTCCCATCTGGCCTACAGATAGGCCACACAGAGGGCAGGCGGCCAGTACCATTGTTTTGCTACCACCCAGACTTTCCCAACTCAGGATTTTATAGAGTAAAGAAAACAGAGAAAAACAGAGCCTACAGGGGGAGGGGGACAGCTGCTGTGTGAGATCAAAATACTAGCTGTTTTCTGATTGAGAAGCTGGCTCGTCTCCCAAGGTCTCACAGTCCACTTACTGATGGCCTTCACTATATTCCCCACAGGGTGGGAGGGGGAGGGGGAGCATGGGAAGGGACCCATGTTCCCATTTACCATACAATATGGAAGATTTCCCTATTCCTTTTTTTTTACATTTGTGAATTTTATTTATGATGTAAAAGTAATTTATCCTCCTATATAATAAAAGGCTAATATGCAAATCGACCGAACCACGGAACTACTGGTTGCTATGACACACACTGACCACCAGGGGGCAGACACATGATGCATGAGCTGCCACCTGGTGTTCAATGCGCTCCCACAAGGAGAGTGCCTCTCATCCAGAAGCTGGGCTCACGACTGGCAAGAGCAGCAGTGGTGGCGGGAGCCGCTCCCACCTTCCCAGCAGCGCTAAGGATGTCTGACTGATGGCTTAAGGGGAGTGGGCCTAAGCTGTCAGTTGGACATCCCCCGAGGGCTCCTGGCCTGCAAGAGGGCGCAGGCCAGGCTGAGGGACCCCCCCCCCCCCTCCTTGAGTGCCCGAATTTCGTGCACTGGGCCTCTAGTACTTAATAAAAGCATTTCTTAATCTCAGATTAGTCCTTTGTGGTATCGCTATTGTTAGGTCTGATTTTTGGGTCAGTTCATTATAGTACTTGGTTATAATATCTGTCCCTCATGAAACTCATGTACAGATATGTAGAAGTGTATTGCTGGTTTCATCTACATTATGATATTTCTCTTATAGTCCTCTCCATCAAATAGATAGTGGTTTGTTAAAATTCAGATGCTGACTTCTCATATTTTCTGAGCTCTGTGAGTTGATCTTATAAACAAAGATAATTGCTGCTTTTTTTACATTTATGTCCTCAGAATCCTGGCCATGATGAAGTAGCAAAGACTGAATTTTGCCTCCTGAGTTAAACAACTAGGAAATGACAAAATATTTGACAGTTTCAGATACTGAACAACAAGTAGCATAGGATTGTTATACTGAGAGAAATTGTCACTGAAACAAGAAAGGCAAGCCCTGAAATGATTCCCAGCTTATTGTCTAAAAGCATTTTATAAGCAATAGAAAAGAGGAAGCCAGACAGAGCTTAGTTTTTCTGCAGAGTTGAGGAGATTGGGGATTAAGGAGGCCAAGGCAGCTACATTGTGTGGGGCAGAGTGCCAGAGTGGCTGTAACTGCACAGGAGAGAGCACTCAGAGATCCTGTGGAACTTACCATGAGGCTTTCTTTGGCTGAGTACTGAATTACACACATGTGTAAGAGAACTTGGATAGCTGGAGAAATAAGTGCTGAAAAGCATTTGGTGAAGCAATTTCTGGAACTCACAAAAATTTTGTTCCTACAAGCCATCTTGGAAAGAACTCAAGGCATTAGATAGAATTTCTAATAAAGTATCTCACCATAGGTGCTCTGCACCTATCTTGGAAACAAATGAAACTAATTTTAGAACAAAATTCAAAAAACAAAACAAAAACAAACAACCTACAGGCATACCTTTTTCTTATTATTATTGTGCTTGGCTTTATTGTGTTTCACAGATGTTGTGTTCTTTTACAAATTGAAGGCAAAATCCTCCTACCAGCAAAGATTACAACTTGCTTTATTGTGATACTTGCTTTATTGTAGCAGTTTGGAACTGAACCCACAATATCACTAAAGAGTGTAAAATTCACAATGTCCTTTATCTGATTTTAAAAAAAATTACCAGGTATGGGGGAGGGGGAAACAGGAGAAAATAGTGACCAATAACTCAAAGAAAAATCAGTCCATTTAAGGAGACCCAGAAATGATAAGACATAAGGAAGTAGCAGCAAGGACATTAAAAGAGCTATTGTAAATGTATCCCATGTATTCCAGAAAGTGGAAGAAATTTGAACATGATGTTGTCAGAAATGGAAAACATAAAAAGAAACCCCAAATTGAACTTTGTGGATGAAGAATACAATATCTGAAATGAAAACCACTGGATGGAATTACCAGGAGTTTGGAGAATAGAGAAGAAAATATTAATGAATTGGAAGATAAAGCAATAGAAACTATCTAAAATGTATAGAAAAGACTAGGGGGAAAAATGTACAGAGCATCAGTGACCTGAGAGACAATATTAATTGGTTTTACTTATTGATAAAATAAGTAATGGGGACAGGAAAAAATATTGGAAGAAGTAATAGTTGAAAAGATTTCAGATCTGGTGAAAACTATAATCCTATAGATCCAAGAAGCTTAATGAATGCCAAGCAGAAGAAACATATAAGAAACTACCTTAAGGCATATCATAATGCATTTGACTAAAGCAATGACAAAGAGAAGAGCGGATAAAGTTGGAAAGAAAATAACTGTCCACCTTGAGTTGTCGCCCAGCAAAAATACCTTTCAGGAAATGGAGGCAAAATAAAAACTTTCACACAAAATCTGAGGGAACACATGCCCAACAAACTATATGCTACATAGAAAATGTTAAAAGTTATTTTTTGGAGAAGGAAAATGATGCTATGTAGGTGTTTGGATGTACACCAAGTAATGAGGGATGCCAGAAGTGGTAAAAATGTAAATAAA